AGCCATTTCGCGCTTGTGAATTCGCAAACGTACCGGCTTTATGATGTTTGGGCGCACCTGTAAGCCCCCAGGCTTTTCATTGTGTCCTGCAGTATCACTCATGTGGTTTAACGCACTTGCACGAGCATAAGGCTCGTGGCGATGGCTACCAACCACCGCAGTGGTCGCGTACTAGCCAAGTCTTCGATAAAGGAACCTCGTACCTGTAGGGCGCCGAGCCCTCGAAGTCTTAAACCGACGTCTTGTTGGCACACCGCGAAGAAATGGATGTCAGCGTAATAGTCCAAAAAAAGAGCAGAAATTGAACAGTGCGCAGAAACAGCGACTGAACAGATCCACTTCTTCTTCTTCTTCTTCTACTTCTTCTTCTTCTCCTTCTCCTTCTCCTTCTTCTTCTCCTTCTTTTTCTCCTTCTTCTTCTTCTTCAAAACATTTCTATCCCTTTCTCTCTGTCTCTCTTGCTATTGGAGGCTAGCCTATATTTGGATTGCCTGACGGCACTGCGTGGGAAGCTCCGGGCTAAACAACGTTGTGTATTAGAGAAAAGTGTGTTGTGGGGCTAGTTCGTATGACATATTATTCAAACTAGAACTGCGCTTTGGACGGGACACAATATAAGATACCTTTTGTACTGTGTGCATCAACTGTAGTGTCCCGTCCTAAGCGCAGTTTAACTTTGAATACATTTGTAACAAAGGGCCAGATAATCCCTGCTAGGAAGTATCCACATTATTGACCCACAAGGGACGTGCTAGAACGCTTCCCTAAGATCCACCAATGAAGATGCTTTGATACGCCAAGAGTTGACACAACAAACGTTTTCCAGTAAACGAGCTTCCAGTCACGCAGAGAGACTTGAAGCCCTTCAAGAAAACGGGGAAGGTAGAGAAATTGAGGACAACTTAATAAGTACAGTATTTCGTCCCCTGAGTTAGGGGACGTCAGGGGACGAATGGCAACTCATGATTACGGAGTTAGACAAGGAGAGCAGAAAGGTGGGTCTTAAATTAATCAGCAGAGAACGAAAGTAATGTACAACAACCTCGGAAAGGAGCAGCACTTCGAGATAGGTATACATAGCGCACTTGAAGTTGTAAAAGACTATGTCTACTTAGGGCAGGTAATAACCGCAGAGCCTAACCACGAGATTGAAGTAACTAGAAGAATAAGAATGGAGTGGAGCACATTCGGCAAGCACTCTCAAATTATGACAGGTAGATTGCCACTATCCCTCAAGAGGAAGGTATATAACAGCTGTATCTTGCCCGTACTTAGCTGCGGAGCAGAAACCTGGAGACTTAGAAAGAGGGTTCAGCTTAAATTGAGGACGACGCAGCGAGCAATGGAAAGAAGAATGGTAGGTGTAACCTTAAGAGACAAGAAGAAATCAGAGTGGATTAGGGGACAAACGGGGGTTAAGGATATCATATTTGAAATAAAGAAGAGGAAATGGACATGGGCCGGGCATGTAGCGCGTAGACAGGATAACCGCTGGTCATTAAGGGTAACTAACTGGATTCCCAGAGAAGGGAAGCGGGTTAGGGGGAGACAGAAGGTAGTATAGACCACTTCGGGAGTGCATGTCATTGGTTTAGTTTGGAATGAAATACTGCATTTTAGGACGCGCTTGACAAAGACAAGGACACAGTGAGGCCCACGGAAAGCCCAAGTGAAAGCGTATTCGTTTGTGATTTTCTGTGTGTCCCAATGTGCTCTCGTCTCCACCAAACTAAAGGGAAAAAAAGGCATGCACTTCAAATTGTCTTTGGTGTTCAGATGTTAGTACTCGCACTCGACTATACGAGTGTGTTTTTTTAGCTGGATGAGAGAGTGAATGCCCAAGTGTTTGTGGGAATACGAAGTTGCGGTAATTTTCTCACACTATGACACCATTCACGTTGAGGCCAACTGCATTGACCTTTTTTTTTCTTAATGTAAACCGCTGTCTGCGTGCTATAAATACCGTACGCATGCCCAACGTCTGGTGCGTGGCGTTTGGTGTGTCGGCGGAGAGGTGGCTTTTTACTTGCATAGAAATAGATAGCATGGCCTAGTTTTATCTGAGGAATGGGTAATATTGTTTAAGCATAGCTACACGGTCACTCAATTTTATTCATTTTATTTATTTATTTATTTACTTATTAACACCTTCGCCTAAGCTGGAGGAGCATTACAGCAAGACTGAAAACGAGAGAAAAACAAAGGAAAATATAAACTTGAGAAAAACAATGTGGCACTAGATAAAACATATTGCGTAAAAATAAGCAGCAATCACCCCTCGACATCACCAAAGTTGACTAGAAAGAATAGTGTGCCAAAGCAGCCATGAAATCATTCCGACTCAAGAACATCGATAAGAAGAAAATACAAATTGCTCACTGTTAGAGGGAAACAAAAGGAACAGGAAAGATAATAAGAAAAATGGCAGCACATCCACGGAGTGAATGATGGAGAGTGGGGCGAAGCATCCGTTCCTCCATTCGTTCTTGCTTCCGTCCGTCCATGCCTGCGTCTGTGTGGCCGCCCGTTCGTGCGTCTGTTCGTGCGTCCGCACGTCCATCTGTGTGCTCGTCCATGCATCCGCTCCTGCGTCCGTCCATGCATCCATCCGTCTGTACAGCCATCCGTGCGTCTGTTGTTGCATCCTGTCTGTGTGTCCGTTCGTCCACCTATTCAACACTCCAAGTACCACCTTCTCGCATATTTTCATCATATATTCCTCATATAGAAGCACCGCCATCCTGCGGACATTCCAAGGACTGAACCAGAGGAGGCACACGCACACTTTCTTGCGGCTTGCGCTTCGTGTCTACTTCCCACCTTTAACCACCTCGAGTTCATGGTATATGCTAATTCACTGTATTCATGGCACTGCGGCCCAACGCTCGCTAAACATTTCTAAAACCAAGGAGGTTACGCCCAGCGAGTATAACGTAGCAACCCTTTCTTGTCAGATAGTGCTAAACGTACATGCCAATGACTGCTAAGGGGGAATGAGAGACAGGAGAATTCGGCTTTTAGTTAACGCGCACGCTGCGAATTTTTTATTGTTCAACAACGCACAGAAGAAATCTCCCACCGGCACCACCTTGGAGGTCAAAATGTAAGACTGTTTACACACTACGACTACTACTACTACTACGAGAGACGAAAGGGTGCCGCTTTAAGGAGCTTCGCCCCTAAAACGTAGTTGTGAGCGTTGATTCGGGTGCAAATCGGCGAAATTCATGACTGTGCGTTGTTTTTTCTCGTCGTAGGCCTATATACATACCAAGGAGGGCAATGCCATAATATAGTTCGCAGCACTGTGTAGTAATACAAGATGATTAATTTTTTTGTGCGTTTTAGTATATATATATATATATATATATATATATATATATATATATATATATGGGCTAGTGCAGACTTATTGGCCAGTGTCGACTATCGTGCTTGGAATAGTGTGGGTGTGTGCCAGTTAGTGATTCACGATTGTAAAAATTAGCATTAGCCGCAAAAACACCTGGGACAGACAGCACGATGTGGTTGTCTCATCATCACTTACCACAATAGACATTAAAATCAGTTCATGATCGCAAGTGTCAGCAGTAACACTGTCATTGTTCAACTTCAATCAGATTACCGAGTTACTTTCAATGCGATACATATTGCTTGATTAATGTGGAAAAATTAATGAATGCAACCACGTTTATTCCACTTTGGTCACACCGAGGGCGCTGCGGTGGGCAGGGGCACAAGGCAAAGTAGACTTTAAACGGGTAAAAATAACCTGGAGGAGGCTAACTCATTGGTGGCTACAATCGAGGCGCGAGTGAAATTCAATCCTTTGACACACAGTGATAGTACTCAACTTCACGGCTAGGTGGCGTGAGCCATCACCCGATCTAAAGGGCACAGCCGGATACATCCATCCATCCATCCATCTTCAGGGCTTTAGATGTGCAAGAGTAACTTAGGCGGTGCCGCTTCACCTTTGTCACTATATTTTGGTAACAACTGCCAGAGCCAGATCGAATCAACAACGACCTGTTTCTCTGCCGTTGACGTCATACGTGACGTTATCCGTCAAGTCACGTGGCACCACAGTGTTCTAGTGTGAACAGACTCGCTACTTACACGCGCTGCTGCCAGTTAAGCATTTATTTCATTTCACCCATTTAGCCTAACTTTGTTGTTACCGCGTGTAACAAACGTGTGATGTTTCGTTGCATGCGTGATCGAATACATCGAATCACAACATACTACTTGTAGTTCGTCAACCAATTAGATATAAACAGGTTATACATGTACCGGGTATTGCAGGAAGGTTCCGCTTCTTTCGCGTTCTCTCGTGAGATGAACGCGTGACAGGTTACCTACAACAAACTGCCCGAGCGAAAACAATTCACTCGACGAAACAAGTAAAGTAATCAGCAACAGCTCTTTATTTTTTTCCCATGCAATTTCTTTATTGCCTACAATACACTTGGCGTTAATCAAGCGTGTACGTTTGTTGTTTTTAAAGAAGAACGACCATTAAAGTTCCCAATTTGAATTAAGAAAGTCAGGAAAGAAAAAAAACACATTATTGTTTTAAAGACAAGTAAAATGAACAATCTATTTTAAATTCTGGCATGTTTCTGTTTTTGTTCAGTATCAATCCGCGCCGAAGGGTTGTTTTGAGGCAAATATATTATTCGTATTGGGTAAACACATCTTGCATTTAGAATTGCCAACAGTCCAATATTATTTGGCAATTACATAGAACCGGTTCTGATAGCAAAATATTTAAAAGAAAAAAAGAAGAAAACACTATGTAAGCGCTTCTCTGTGAGCATGCTTGGCACAGTTGAAGTTATGTATGTACACATAGAGCACACGTATCTAACATTATATATATATATATATATATATATATATATATATATATATATATATATATATATATATATATATATATATATATATATTTATATATATATATATATATATATATACATATATATATATAGTGCAGCGCTATCTAAAAGAAACATGAATGCCATTTTACTTTATATACATATTTATACCCTTAGTGCCGGCATAAATATCACCAGACACGCGCAGCTAATACGTATTAGCAACAATTATGATACAAATATTATTAGGCAGAGGTATTTAGATTCAAATATGACTCTGCTATGCCTATTTTACTGTTTTATATTCTGAATTTCCCAAAAAACCCAGTGCTTTCTGTCCTCCTCATTAACGTTAAAATTTACTAAAGCTTCTCGAACGTGTTAAAATAAGAGAATTAAAAGCAACATATCCAGTATCGGCTCTTTATGAAAGCTAAGATGCATAAATAGTTATATCTGCAATGTATTTACAGTGCATATCAGAATACAAAAGAAATATATTAATTATAAAATAGAAAAAAAACGGACATCTATATCTAGCGCAGACACGGCGACAAAAACTAGGACGAACAATAAAGAAGTGAAGAGTTGACGAAAAAGTAGACCTCGATTCAGGTACGAATATTTTACATCTACATTCCCACGAAGATTGCATCTTTTTGTGTCCATATTTCGAAAGTTAGCGCCCAAACAACAGTTTCCGGTTTAGGGGAATCAGGCTCGTAGAACAGTCGAGCGACTGTTATTGGGGTGAAAGTTGCATCACCTGAGAAGCCTAAAAAGTCTACCGTGAAAATGCATACATAAAACAGCAGGTGCAGGACAACGGTGAACAATAGCATCAAGCATGCATAAAATAGGTAGCTGTCACCCCCACTTTGTACACATAATTTGATCTTTCGGCTCGTCATAACTTCGTAAAGCAGCCGAGAATCGTGGCGAAAAACGTCGTAATAGAACGAAAGGACTGCTACTAAATACGCACATAGAGCATGAAAATGTACAATTGGATTCTCGTGTCTCATCCGTAGCAAGACTGGCCTGAAGAACATAACATTTTTTTTCCTGTTGTATGTTCGGAAACAGAAAAAGTCCTGCTTTGGTCGTCAACACTTATTGTTCCGTTTTACGTGTGGGCTAGAGGGAAAAAATAAACAAAAATAATGCATGAAGGTTTTCGATGAAGCTGGTTGTTCTTGTTCCAGCGACAAGGTCAGCTGCCTGCGTCCATGACACGAGATCTTCCGTGATTGCACTGAGCGGTGAAGAGCTCCATCTATCCACCGGATACGCCCGCACGCGTCCGCACTGCAGTACCAAGGGATAACACCATCGGAAGCATATTGCTGCACAATATCACGATGACTAAGCACCATTTCAGGAACCGTCCCGACGAAACTTCGCGAAGATTCAATGTACAGATGAGAGTTGATACGCAACACGTCTCGATGTCTCGAAGATCCTGTTACGTCGTCCATACCGTGGCTGTTCCTACTGCCACGGCTACGAAGTCAACGTGAAGCACCTCATTTACGTTCACTCGTTCGGCGCACGCCCAATCGTAACAACGTAATCACCAGCCAACTGCCCGTTCCGGAAGATGCCGTTTGTCTACGGCAGAGCCGCCATTCCTGGTTCGCTGCCGACTGCTGCGTCTCGTCGCGCTCAGCCCAGTGACTTCGGCGTAACCAGCGACGTCAGTTTCGCCGAGGACTTGAACGTCGCCAGCGTCACTGCTGGCATCGACCGACCAACGTGCCGTCGGACTTGGGCGGTTCCGGACGAGCCCCACCTCTAGTTCCTCAGAGGTGGCTGTTGCCCGAAGACTGCTGCTGAGACTTTCCGTTGGTTGCCATGCCATCGACGGCGTGGTTGCAGCACTGGTCTTGTTGCGGCTTGTTGAGCTTGCTGTGCTGGGTACCATAGATGAAGTAACCCGTGAGACCTGCGAAAAGAAGTAGCAGGTGTGAACTGAGGCAAATGCGACGTTTCGTCGGATCTTTGCAGAAAGTCGGCGCAGTCAAGTGCGAATCGGGAATAGTGAAACGTGCGGCATTTGCAAAACCGTACGCGATCTACGCGACCAAAGAGTAGGAGCGTGTCCTGTGCTCGTAAGTTGTCACGTTATTTACGTAACTAGTTAGCTTCACACGACGCAGCCCCATTGGCTATTTCAGGTGTCGGGATTATACATGACAGATCCAATGCAGACGAAAAGTCCCGACATGGCAATCGACTACCACTGGTGGAGCGTTGGTCACGGTGTTCGGCTGCTGGGCCGAAGGTGGCGGGTTCGATCCCAGCCAAGGCCGTCACGTTTTAATGAAGGCGAAACGGTAGAGGCCTGTGTACTGTGTCATGTCAGTGCACGTTAGCGAACATAAGATGGTCGAAAACTTCAGAGCCCTCCACTACAGCGGCTCTCATAATATAATGTCGTGGTTTCGGGAAGTAAAACTTCCTATATTGTTTTTATTATTACATGAAAATTCATGAACACCTCATGGTAAAAGACTGCAGTGTTCATTTGCTTAGGCGAGAACTGTTAAATATATTTAGTTTGTGAAAGCTACGAACACGGGAAGGATAAGCGGATTTAAAATTCATCGTGGTGCATGATGTGTTCATGAAGGGGTAAGATTCCGTCTGTTCTATCAACAAAAAGGTGTATTGCGTATATGCGGGGAATTTCGTGTGTGTATGAATGGAGGACTTTTGTGAAATTATTACGCGATCACTCCAAAGGTATGGCTGCACTATTTTTCCGAATGCTCGTGCGACAGATGAAGACATGCTCCAGGTTATCGATGAAGGACTGTGGACATGAACGCAACCGAGAGGGTAACCTGATCAAGTGGAAATTCTACAGATTTAGGAAGAAAAATTAGATCACCCGCCTAACTGAACCCCGCCGAATAACAGAACAAACAGTTTTAATTGTAGGTGACCTAACCCATGACGAAGCACTTTCCGGGCGACATCTTTATAATTATACTGTCTCAGCAGTATCAGCAGTGCCAAGTGACACAAATATTCGTGGAGTGCGTCTACTACATACGAAACGTGTGTTAGTATATCCGCGGCTGAAATGTATTTCTGCTGAGCTCGAGGTCATGGTTCACATCACGCGAGTTTTCTACAATATTTACTACAGAAAACAGTGACACTGCAATCTTTCATCCGCCACGAGAAGGATGGTTCTCACATGGATTTGCCTAGTCTTTGTACTTCCGGTTTCGAACGCACTTGTGACAATGTTTACTGCTGTGTCTTGGTTTTTCTTTCATACGAAAGAATGGATGATGCTGAAACTCAGGAGATGATTTGAATTACCGGTCAAAATGATGATGTAGGACTGCTGAACTTCTACTGAACTTTTGGCTGAACGTCGTGTTGTGCCAAGGTGGCTCCAAGCCACATGAAAGCTTTGACGAATTCGTGTACAAACCATCATTCGCATGCTTTCTGAATAATCATGCGTCGTAGCTACCATAGACAGAGCATTAGATTTCTCTCTGGTGTTCTATTATGCAACTATATGATTTCCATAGCATGCAACAGCTGGCTAGATTTAAGTGGAGGCGAAAGACAATACCGCTGATATACTCAGGTACCTTAAGAAAGAACCCCATGTGCCTAGACGTTTTACCGGAGGTCCCGCATCACGAAGCCACTAATATTGCCAGAATTGCATTGCTAATGCATGCATAAATCAATCACTTGACCAATAAGCAAACCAATGATTTTTATACGAAAGCACAGTAGCTTCGTTTCGCTCACCTATTGCTACCCAGACAAGAAGACGAAGCCAAGTAAGTCCATGTAGGGTTGTCAGCAAAATGGTGTTGACCACGATGCTCAAAATGGGCAGAAAGGGCACGAACGGCATCTGCACAGAAGAACGAAACCGTCGAGACGGTCAGCTTGCTAAACATTAAATAAAGTAGTATAAAAGCATTCAATTTTCAGCAGGAATACAAGGAAGGCTAGTTGGTGGTTGAAGGCTACCCCTCGAGGAGCAGCATGACAATAAACAGAATTGAAAGTTCGGCTAGAACTGACAGTTATACTATGACAATAGCCCACGGCCACCTTAGTGGGTTGAAACTTGCACAAAATACGATCGACACGACACATCAGCGTCATCAGTCGTGACTAAAAGACCTAGACTAGAAAGGATTACTTTTTCAGGTAAGTTGGCCTTGTGTCATGTCTGAAACGTCCAGTGTCGAACACTACAGGGCCTAGACTTCCAGTATGGAACACTACAGGGCCTAGACTGGCATGAATACTGACGTTTGGAAGGCTATCTAGGTGCTGGCTGACATTCTATTTATTTCTAAGTTGACATGACGATATATTTTATTGCAGCGCAAGATGCAAATGTTGATGAACAATAACTTGATATGTCGGTTGCTTTGTAAGTAACGAGTTGTAATCTAAAATGAATGATGCATTAAGGAATAAAGCGAAACATATTCATGAAAGTGACAAATAGGTCCTGAGCAAGCTTGCGAAGGCGGGTAAACTGATAAAGGGGGGGGGGGGGGGATAGGATTATCTTGTTCCCGTTTGTATCACAAAACTACGCACAAAACTCGTACAAGACATAATCAAATATTTATTTTGGTGTGTCTTGTAACACGTTAAATCTGCCGTAAGTAGTATTTAAGGGCTCCTAACTAGTGTGAATAGTGACATGCTACGATTATTAGGATATATCCTGGTTGCTATAGCTTGCAGGCTTACTGTGCACCTCGTTAATATTTCAGTTATGCATAACATAAAGTCAAACTGCATTGCGAGGTTCTCGTGAGCCCTCTTGGCTATTAAGACCAGCTTCCTTCAGTGCAACGAGGCAAAAAAAAAAACAACTCCCTTCACAAATAAATGCAATTTTTTCATGTGGATTTGCATTGATTGCATCGTCGTGATACGAATGAGGGGAACGAAATTTTTTCAAGTGAAAGCCTTTTGCGGCCTGTTGCGCTGTGACCTGGAGCAAAACTGTGAGGTCATCACGCGGTGTCACAGATCACTAAAATCGTGACGTTTTATTACGTCATGCTCTGACGTCAATGAATGACATCATCCCTTATTTTTTTATAGGTGGGATGATTCTCGAGGCTTATACAACCCGCTTAGTGCGGTAATGTTCAGGCGCTTCTCTCACACTGCTAGGCAATATATCTTACAAGAAGTATGGTCCTCTATTGTATGACTTAATCCGTTACCAAGTGTTGAGCAGCGATTCGCCTTCAAGTGTTACAGAGAGTGGAACATGCTGCAAAATTTTTCCTTTCGTAAAGTGAACCAACGACCAACCTTGTACCGCTGCTCCGTGATGGCCTGCTTGTGAATGGAGATGAGGAAGCACAGGGCCAGCAGCATGAGCACGAGCACCACGAGCACGAGCACGGCCCACCAGACTCCGTCGGATATCTCGGCCCACAGGCCCTGGGCGTAGAAGCCCAACACCAGCGTCACCACCACGATGCCGACCACGCTGAGCGAGATTATCAGGTCGGTGGGCACGCTGCCCAGCACGGAGGACATGAACTGGAACCGGGGCAACAGTCGGTTGTAGGCGGTGCTGGCGGATCCGTTGCAGGCCGGGCTACCCGAAGAACCGTTCACCGGCTTCTCGGTCATTGAGCCCATCTCCAGCACATCCTGCGTGGTTCGTGTAACCATTATCATCATTATCATCATCATCAACAATAATAACAACAACAACAACAGTGACAATTGCAACAACAACAACAGTGACAATTGCAACATCCTTAGCTCGACTGTACCCCTTGCCGGGCATATATCTCTCCCACGTTTCTTCAATAAACCCCTTCCTGCACTTGCTGCAGCCCGCCATACATGTTTATGCTCCTCTGCACACTAAATATTCTGCCTTCTCCTGGTACGCTTGCCTTCTTTTGGCTCTTGATGTACCGGGGGACGGAGATAAACTATAAGTGTTTCGGGAGAGTGAAAAGACGGAAGAACTGGAGACAGAGCAAAAGCAGTGATGTTAACCCTGTTTAGAGTAACTGGTACGTTACCGAAAACCAGAGAAAGGCACGGGAGAACATGAAAATAATATTTAGAGAGCGACAAAAAGAATACGGGGAGGAGGGGAGGTGGTCTTGATTACACACGCTCACACTCAAAGTCACATGGGAGCTTTGACCTGGGACAGTCTATGGCTCTCTCCTAGCAGACTGCTTATAACTCTCAAAAGCGGTCACAATTTGTTCTAATAACACTTGGCCGCAGACACCTTTTATAGGGACTTTTTATAGAGCTTTCCCGCATATAGTAGAACCAGTAGTGCTTTTAAATCGTATCCCTTTTCTTTAAACACTCGTCGTTATTGGTGGATATAAGCCAATGCAAGTCCGTTGTCTTCAAGAATTCTAGCAACCCCTTCATTGCCCTCATCCGCAATAACTGCACCGCATTCCAAAAAGATTTCTGCTGTCATCGGTGTGCGGCCAAATGGAGCTACACATTGAAGGAAGAAAAAGATCAAAAAAGGGTCACAGCGCCCCAACTCAGTTAAGGTATTCACTTGATCCTTTTCGTATAATAGAAGCAGAAAAGGGTAGTTTCGAAATCTGTAAAAGTTGCTTCACTCTTCTGAGGGACGCTTCAATGGGTTTCTGTGATAAAGAGGCTGCTGTATAGGCCACATCACGTGACTGACAACCGACGCCGTTCATATGCGTTGCGTGCCCTGGCCATACCTTGGCGCGCCGCGTACCACCGTTGATTAACAATGGCCGGCGGCGCCGGCGCCTCCTAGGGCGCCTCGACGGCAGCTTTCCTTCGTTGGCAAAGAGACAACCAAGCTCCTCCTATCTCAGTCTTTACTGTCTCTTAGTGGTCGTAGTGCGTCTTGTATTGTGTTCGAAGAAGAACGCGCATCATGGGCTGCGGTCACGCCACATACTTTGATGGAAAGCTGGGGACGCTTACAGTAATTGATAAGCCTTGTTTTGCAACCCTACATCAAGAAGAAGGAAACAGAGAACAGAAGACGGAAATAGAATAGGGGACAAAAAGTAACCGTTCCTAAATATCAATGAACGGCGCGACTAAACTAAAGTCCGTCTGATAGGGTTCCGCCTGTAACCTGTCAATAATAATAATAATAATAATAATAATAATAATAATAATAACATGTGGGGTTTAACGTCCCAAAACCACCATATGATTATGGTAGACGCCATAGTAGAGGGCTCCGGAAACTTTTGACCGCCTGGAGTTTTTTTAACGGGCACCCAAGTCTGAGTACATGGCCTACAGCATTTTCACCTCCACCGAAAATACAGCCGCCACAGCTGGGATCAACATCCCACAATGCGTATACAACACATTGAATACTACGTAAAAAATATGGGATTGTCTCGCGTGAATACCAAAATTCAGTTATTCGCAATATCTGTGTTTTGTGTTTTTTTTTTTCGTTTTTTTTTTTGCACTTACTATTATTACCGAAGTATACAACGTTCTGATTGGCCTCATGTTACAAGCATGAAAATTCCTTCGAAGTGAGATTTGCCTGCTGTTAAACATCATGCATTTCATATGGTTCATAATCTGCTTCGTACAGATACCACCGTAGCCGCCAGGTGACACAACCGAGTCGAGCAATCCCAACACCAGCCTTTCTCCTTGCCTTCCGAGACCTCTCTTACAGCTCTCTTGAATAGAAATGAATGAAATAAAAAACAACAACCATGCATTGCGCTTGCTGCGAACTGTGCATAAGTGTTGTGCGCATAAGTGTTGTGCGGTGTACGGCACCATTACAAGTCTACAGCCACACGTGCAAGTCTGTTGTCCGTAGTAATTTTAGCAATGTCTTGGTTACTTGAATTGTCGACGATTTTCGGGGGATAACATTAGAGAATACTTTCTGCAAAATCAGTATGTTGTCAAGGTGAGTGAGACGAGTTGACCAGAGAAGAGTCGCAGGACTCGTACCTTCTTGGCGGGCTCCCGGTACCGGAAGATGATGATGCCGCCGCTGACGACGAGATAGGCAAACAGCGTGCCGATGGACATCATCTCCACCAGGGTCTCGATGTCCAGGATGACGGCGAGCAGGCCGGCCAGCGCCGAGAACACGTACATGGCAATGAGCGGGATTTTGGTGCGCTTGTTCACTGTGCCGAACAGGTGCATGATGAGGCCGTCGTCTGCCATGGCGTACGCTATCCTGGTCAGCGCGTACAGCGTGCCTATGAGCACCGTGGACATTCCGCACAGGGCGCCAATGATCACCACGATCTGCACGAATGGACGGATAGAAGAAACATTATTCAGGTCTGATAGAGGGTGTATCACGCACCACTGATTAATTGTCATTGGGGCACGTACGTATGTGATAATAAACGAATGGTCATTGCGAGGAGTTACCATGAAAGCGCACGCTCGTAATACTTTAATATTTGTAAAACAAGAGTACTTTTACAATGTTGACACAGCGGTTAACTTTGCAAAGGTTCCTACACGAGTAAATTTATGACTAACTGGCTTAAATGTGTGTCCCTCGCATGTCCTTGCTAAACGGAAAGAGTCAAGGCAGCTTTCATTCATCGTAGTGAGAAAGGGACTAAAGTAACATATGGAAATGCATTGCTTCGTGATGTTTACGTGTAGTACAGAAGTTATTCGTTCTGATTTCAGAAATTTTACGATTCCACAGAACAACAAAGGCACACGATTGTGAGGCACTCGCATAGCCAGAAAGGTAGGAAGGGTACGAACGCTTTTGAGATTTTTAGTCTTGTATGTGTGTGTACACACTCGTACGCACAAACCCTCGCACGAGGGCACATAAAGTATAACTGCATACCCTCCCCCCGCCCCCTATCTCGAAAAAAAAACATTTATGGCTTCGAAATGGCGTCACGCGGAGACAGCTTCTGATGAATTCTTCCTAACCTATTCCATGATTGATTGATATGTGGCGTTTAACGTCCCAAAACTACCATATGATTATGAGAGACGCCGTAGTGGAGGGCTCCGGAAATTTCGACCACCTGGTGTTCTTTAACGTGCATCCAAATCTGAGCACCCGGGCCTACAACATTTCCCCCTCCATCGTAAATTTAGCCGCCGCAGCCGGGATTCGATCCCGTGACCTGCGGGTCAGCAGGTCACGGGATCGCCACTAGACCACCGCGGCGGGGCGAGCCTATCCTATCCCATCTAAAACGAATCTACCCGATGAAGCATCAGGATGACTCCTGCAAATCCTGCCAGGAAGGGCCAGCAAAACTCAAGCACTTCTTGTGTCTGCGCTGTACACTTGTGAGAATGACCGCCGTTACTGCGGAGACACCTTCGTCGTGGTGCATGGGCCACCGCACTGCGCCGCTCAGACCTCGCCATCCAAACGTGGGCGGCCCAGCAAGCCTGTGACGGCGTTGAGGCAAGGCCTTGAAGTTCCCGCGTGCGAGGTTTTCAGGTCGCGTTAAACCTCGCCGGGCGCTCAACAAAGCTATATGCACCTATCCAGTCCCCTGTTGTGAGGTACAGGGGCAATCTGGACTGATTTTGACCCCCGATTCATCCAGTGATTAAAGATGTCCGCAAATAGCACCCAGTAAACTAGGCTTTTAGGAGTTGCGCGTGAATAAATAGTATACAAGCATTGAAGACATTATGAAGTCGCACTTACGAGAAAAAAGAACATGTTCCGCACCAATTTCCTTTTGCGATTTTCAATAAAATTAAAGTAAGGTTCTTATACAGTTAAGGTGAATAGCACACTTTATTGGAGGACATTTGCTGATTAATTGTTCTTAGAAGGAATATTACGAATAAATACAATGGTACTGCAGGCCCACCTTAGCCCAGATTGCTCCCTTGGTTTCCAGGGCGTCCGGTAGACCCGAGTCCGGCACGATGTCCTTGTAGTTGACCATGAGCGTGAGCACCGCGGAGACGGCCACATACAGCACCGTGACCACGGTCATCGAGATGAAGGTGGCGATGGGCAGCGAGCGCTGAGGGTTCTTGGCCTCCTCGCCTGAAGCAGCGATGGCGTCGAAGCCGACGTAGGCGAAGAAGCAGGCCGCCGACGCGGCCAGGATGCCGTGCACGCCGAAGGGCACAAAGCCTCCGGTCTCCGGGTTGGTCCAGTTGTCGAAGTCCGCGTAGTAGCCGCCCACGCCGATGATGATGAAGAGGACGAAGATGTTGACGCAGCAGAGAATGTTGTTGAGCCACGAGGTTGCCTGAACGCCGACCGACATGAACGCCACGTACACCGCGATGATGCCGAGCGCCAGGAAGTCGGGATAAGGGGACAGGTACGGGCCCGGAAGCTCCCCGGTAGTGTTCATGATGGCACCCTTGATGGCGCCGTGGGTGAGCGAGTCTATGTACGCGCTGCAGGCTCGGGCCACGGCCGAGATTCCGATCACGTTCTCGAGGACCACGTTCCAACCGACGAAGAAGGCCCAGAACTCGCCGACGCTAAAGTAAGAGTACGAGTAGGCCGAGCCGGCTCGCGGAAACCGCACGCCGAATTCGGCATACGCGAGGGCAGCGAGCAGGGACGCGATGCCGGCCACCATGTAGGAGACGATGAGCGCCGGACCCGCGATGTTCTTGGCCACCGACGGAGTGAGCACGTAGATGCCGGAGCCCATCATGTGGCCGATGCCGAGGAGAGTGATGTCGAAGGTGGTGAGACATCGCTTCAGCGACGTCTGCATGTGGTCCGCGCCGGGCTCCTTGGTCCGTCGCAGCTTGTGCAGGAATGTCGAGAGCATCTTGCCGGCGCCTCCCTGCGAAAGCCAGGAACAAAGAGTTATTGGTGAATGAGACGAGCATATCTGCTGGCAAGAATTACGTATCAGACACAGAAAAGATGTATCATTGTTTCGGAGTCACTTCTGGACCATTCGCAAAGTTTGTAAAGAAGCAGCCGGCAGCCCGTCGAAGACGGTTACGGGAAGCCAGGGAATCTTGGACCGCATTGCCAAAACATTTTAGTTCGTAAGCGTTCTGCTGTGACGAGATACGAGTTAATTCCTACAGACTGTTCACGTCGGAACAATCTTCTCAATAAGGCCTCCAAACACTGTCCTCATTTACCTATGACTTAGAGCATTCAGGTGACACTTTCGCTCACGCTGAACTAAAACGCGGGAGATGTTTTGTCGCACTTGTTACAACAATACCAGAGAAACTGCGCGAAAAACGCGGATGAAAAGAGAAAATAACAGAACATGCGTAATCTTGTAACAACTTTAAGTATTAGGTGTACTTATCCTCGAAGGTAGTACACAGTCACTGACACGCATAAGCATGCATCGCGTGTGAGTCGGCAAGCATGCCAATGAAGCAACCCGAGAGGCGCTGACGAAATCGTTCACTCAAGCAAAAAATATATATATAACAGAATACACAAATAATAAATTTTAACCAACGTCTGTAACACGCATGCTCATTCATAATGTCTTCTCACGTGTTGAAGTACCTAAGCTAGAACTTATAATGAACGTCACGTATGCAATCGTACTCCTTGGCCTCCGCTAAGTTTGGCGATATTTAAGGTTATAGCATGACATCATCCTACGAACTAAGGCACTCGAGAATCCGTCATTTCCTTAATGATTTACTAGAACACGATCACACATCCGCTGTCCCACCCCGAGCATTCATAGTGGCCGCATTGTTTCAAAAAAAGGTATTGTTTGAGAGAGGATACATTATTACTTTGCTTTGTTGTCTGTAGTATCGCACGTGTATACATATTAGTTCATCGCTTCTGGATAAAACTTCAGTAGTGAGTCAGCGCTTGTGTTCGCGTGCTTACAAATCTTTTCGCCATATCTGTTGCACTGTTTTCTTAAGACTATGCATCTATGCCAACGACCCTAACCGTCAAGTCCCGTACGTGATAGTAAACGAACGGAAACATACCGAATGTTGTTTTCGCTTTCTTTTACGGCCAAGAAAGGGTCGCCGCTGGGACGCCGTCAACATGTCGCGAGCGCTCTCACTATATCGTCTACGACGGAAGAGGAAGGAAGGGCCGACGAGGGAACAACTCGTAAACACGCCGCTAAGTTTTTGACGAGCACCGTCGATGTGTCAAGGGAGCAATGAAATGCGTCCAGGGGGGAATGCCACGTATGTACCGTCCCTGCGTGTCCCACGAATATGTCCGACTCGTAAAGCTCGCGTAGCGACCGCCACACAGATAATATGGGCCACATCGCGCAACAGAAAAAAAAAACAGAAGCACTCGTATGTTTGCGCATGCGCACACGCAAGTTGAATAGGACGCACGCTCATAATACGTCGCATCTTGCGCGGCACCGAATGTCCACCGCGATGGTGTAGCGGCTACGGTGCACGGCTGCAGAATGGAAGGTCGCGGGTTCGATTCCGGTCGCAGCAGTCGCGTTTTGATGAAGGCGAGTGCACGAAAGATCACCGGATAGCCGACACTTTCGAAGCCCTCCATTACGGTGTCTATTCATATAGCAGTTTTGGGACGTAAAATCACGAATGGTATATCATTGCTCTGCAATAACGAACCCAGTTTTTGAAAATAATTGCGCTTTGGAGAAGTTTCCGCTTGTCGCAAGCAAGATATGAGAGTTCTTAAGCGAAGACGAAAGACATTGGCATGGCGTTAAAGAGACATACCCAAGAGATAAACGATTTTTTTTTCTTCTATTGGTAAATTGCAGTTTCCCGATACCGAAACCACCGTGCTCACTACGTGGAAACGCTTTGTAAGCGAGGAAATGTACTAAAAGAAAAAAAAATCGGGACACCACCTTGAAATTCCTGCACCCCGGCATCGTGGATTTTGGCGGCGTCTGCTCGGCCCACGTAATCATTTAGCAGTAAAGAAACGCTTACATTGTTTTTTGAGGAACGGAGCGTCTTAACAAGTTTCAGAGAACGTAATTAGGCTGGCGGTGGTCTAGTGGCTAAAGTACTCGGCTACTGACCCGCAGGTCGCGGGATCGAATCCCGGCTGCGGCGGCTGCATCTCCGATGGAGGCGGAAATGTTGTAGGCCCGTGTGCTCAGATTTGGGTGCACGTTAAAGAACCCCAGGTGGTCGAAATTTCCAGAGCCTTTCACTACGGCGTCTCTCATAATCATATGGTGGTTTTGGGACGTTAAACCTCACATATCAATCAAATCATCAATTAGGCCGATCTAACCAAAAAGCGCAAAAAAATGGCATTGAAATTGGTGACGTCATAACGGCGTTGACGAGGGGAAGTTACGGGGTGAAATTTAAAGCAGACCTTTTCTTTTTCTTCTAATAAACGTCCTATGATGGAAAAAACGAGAACAATAGCGATCCTAAAATAATAATTGAATGGTATGAATCAGATTTCGGCAACCCCCGACCTGCTTTCGCTTCGCCTGGTCACTTTCTATATTAAGGCATGTCACACTAGCTTTGACTCGAATGGTGTAAGACAGGAAAAAAGAAAGATTCCACCTGGTGGCATTGTCTTCAATCTTAACTTTTAGTTAGAAAGCGTCTTCACTTCCCTTCATTGCACGTGTAAAAAAAAGGGGGGGGGGGCAAATTCTCTTTGGAAATGTCATGTCAAGAAATCACCTTACCTTCATCCAACAGTATTTTATACTCGGCGACAACTTTTCTTGGCTTTGAGGGAAAGCTAGGGAGGTGGAGTGCACATGTAGCACCACGCGAAGTAGCCTGTTTTAACGCGCGTCTCAAAACAATATGTAAAGTAACGAGGGCGCACCATCAGTATTTCATATAGACGAAAACGCCACTTAGCGTTTCAGCTGCACGCAAAGAGGAGGGACTTCCTCGGGCGTTCAAAAAATACGCGAAGTCACAAAAAGTAAATTAAAATATAAATACGACCATCTTGATGCTGGGAGCTGCGTCCTGTCTCCAATAGCTCCACGTAGAAAATAAAGGGGGAACTTCTGTATTTCACGGTGAAAACACGGGCGTTGTTGTGGAACTGCATTCACTGGCGGTATAGGATGCCCGCGATTTGGCTCTGTAGCCATCGCTCCAATGCCAAGAAAAGTTGTCGCCGAGTATAGTGTATGGCGAGAGTTACTCCTCCCCACCAACACAGAGGGCGAATCTTCTCATCATATGCGAGGGTGCCACGTGGGTAACAGCGTTCGGCAGTACAGACGTCGAATGCTCCGCAGCATGTCCTGAGCCGGTTGCCTGGACGCAAGCGCCACGTAGTTTTGGTTTCTATTGCCGAGGTGTCACCGGTACGTGCCCACTTGTCCATACTGAGGTATTATCTCGGTAACACAGCCCAGAGTTTCGCGACCAGCATCAGTCAAACTAGTCAAGGCCACGCCACTTAGAGTTCGGGTTTCTCTTGCTGACGACTGCACACACGTCCGTGAACGGAGCTTCTTCGAAAACGAAGTTCGTCAAACCAAACTTACGTTCCTACTAACCGATGAACACCTCCACGTGCTAGTTTACTCAGAATGTTCGGCACAAGAAATAAAAATGTTTTGTTTCTTTCTTGGTGGGGGGGAGCGGGGTCGGACCTTGAAACCCGTGTCGATAAATTGCAACTTCATTGCACGCTTGCTGTAAATAAACATGATTCATATTCGAGTTTTGTACGATGTCATTAATTTGCCGAATTTTTTTCATAACGTGAAACGTTGATAAGAATCTCATCGACCATCATCTAAAGTGGGTTCTTTTCTAACCTATACCTTAGCCGTACTACTGCCACTAAAGTGACCTTCTCAAGGCTAACGTCAAACTTTTACGTTTGAGCGGACTTGACGACATACATCGAGAAGCATTTGGCTTTTCAAGTTCATTCACCAACCCCTTCACCTGTGTGAGTGACATTTCCCTCCCTTTCGAAGCCATTTCCTATTCCTCAACGCTCAGTAACGGGAAAGAATTTTGATTCAGGCCGATCTCACTGCTTTTCCGGCACCATGCAAGTCACTTCCTCTCCTCCTAATTAGGTGTAAAGCCAGGATACTTCTCAGTCCGCTGCGGTTGTACAGTGGCTACAGGGTGCTAGGCTACTAACCCAAAGGTAGCGGGATCGAATCCCGGCCGCATTTCAATGGAGCCAGAGTGTGCTGTGGGCCCGTGTGCTTGAACTTAGATGCCCGTCAATAGAACCTCACGTGGTTGAAGTGTCCGGAACACACCCCAGAGCGTCTCTCATGATCACATCGCAGTTTCGGGGACTTCGTCAATTATATTATGATAGACTTCCGTGATGCATCGAAAAAAAAGGGACTTACCTTCATTTTCGAACTTCTCGCCGGATTCTCTGGTTAGTTGATTCGAAATTCCCCGACTAAAGAAGGAAACAACGAAGTCCGGGACAAGAACAACCAGACTGGTCCGTCGGCGCGTTCACGCTTGTGAGCTGCCTTTCGCAGTCACGACTCAAACTCGGGCTTGGCCTTAAGAACGTGGCAGAGCCTGTGATATACGAGGCTCGAAGTGAAACCCGTGAGCCTGGCGTCTTCACCGCGCAATGAACTGCGATCGAGTGAGCGACCCGCGCCGACGACGTGGAGTGCGAACCGCGGCAGATTCAGACAGCGCGCCGCTTCGTACGCCGAGTCCCCCTTCTCTCCCTCGCAGCTCGGAAAAGAGAAGCCGGCCGCTGATTGGCCGATTCATCGTCTCACGTACGCTCGCGCATGGTTGAGCGAAAGCGATGCGAGCATGAGGCGCGGGTAAGGGCGACGCCACACGTTACAAGAACGCAATCATTTTTTTTTTTCGTCACTGCGTACCCCTTTCCTCACTCGCATTT